GATTCGATTGCGTTGAATACGCCGCCCACCTTCGACGAATATAGACCTTTTCGCCTACCTTCTCGCCCCGCGGCCGGCGTTCTTGCCTATTATTTGATATCATAATGACGACGACACGTGTCAAGTACATATTTCACTACAACGCCTACATAATGAGATCTGGATTTTCTCATTTGCTTTTTGCTTGGGTTTTGTCTGGCGCAGATTCAGGGTAGACTATTTTCATAGTCTCCCCTATACACGCGCCCTTTAGCCTATGATCTTTAGCGGACACGCGGAAGCATGCGATAAGGCGTTGGTTGGATGAAGCCTACTTAAAAAGAAAGGAAGGCAGGGAAATCAAGGAATTGTATTGAGGCACAGTGCCTCCGGAGGAGTTTTGCGAGTTGGAGAGACCCATACTCGGTTGAGATGGGATTTTATTGCTCTAGTGATAATCTTTTCTGCTTTTTTTTTCTTTGCGAGGACGGACGGACGGACGGACAGCTAGGATAGCCCATGTACGGCGGACAATCATTGGAGTTGGGGTTCATCTTGCGATGCTTTTTCTATAAGTACCTACACGTAGTACTTAGTCCGGTCTTATACCGCAACGTCGACCTCTTATTTTTTCACCTGAACGATCTTGGATCTGTGTGATAGTCGCTATTTTTATGTTGTGACTTGTGTGCTGTAGAACATGTCCAGATGTTCACATGTCTTGACCAATTATAATACTCTCGTCACGACGCTCCCAAGGACTGCGTAAAGCTAGCTCATTCATGGTGCATACAATATATTTACTTACGATGGGGGTATCAATCGGTGATGTAGTTGTATGATTACACCGGCCTACCATGACGAAATCGAAATCCGCGAAGAAGCCCAAAGTCTATCATAAGGGGACCGGATTTCCCAGAGCGCCTGTTCCCAGCCCAAAAGTTATGTTAGTTAACATGAACGCCTTCCCTTCGCCTCGCTCCGAATATTTTTGGTGGATACTTTCTCCTTTCCTTTCCTTCCCCGATCGTCGGTTCGCGCGATGCGCTGTGTTGCCATTATAGCCTCCGCTCCCTCCTTAGTTGTTAGTCAGTTGGCTAGTTTAGATATTCCCGTCTCGACTAGCCTGTGCCTAGATTCTATGCGTGTCCTGTTCCTGCGCCGGCCTATTAGGTTATGTATATGTATATCCCGTATTCGCCTACGCAGCCATATATGTCTCTTTCCCTAGCTACAGCGTTGTTATCGATGATGTTGAGGTTATCTGGCGGAGGGCCCTATTCTAGTAGGTAGTATCGGCTTCAATACCTAGTATATGCCGATGCGGGTGGCCCAGCCTGCGTCCTTTTGATTCACGTTGATTTGGTAGGGGAAGGGGTTGGCCTCGCTGGTGGTTATGGGTGGGATGTGGTCTTTGTGGGTGTTGACGCAGGTAACGATCTTCATGACGCTTGTCAGGAGGGTTTGCTCCATGGCTTTGCGGACTTTGGCGCGTTCTATGTGGTTTGCTTGTTAGCGGATGTAATATGCCCTTTGTTCTATTATAGGATAGCTAGGATAAGAGGGAGACAAACCGCTCTCTGTGCGCGGTTCTGCTACGGTGACCTTCACTGTCCAAGACTCCCAGCAGACTTCCTCGTCGCCGCCGCCGTAGGGAAGATACCACGTCTTGCGGCGTTTCTTCTCGAAAAACTGGACCGAGATGTTACCGCGGCCGCCAGCGCTGCGGTGGGAATGGGTATGCGAATGTGTTCGTTCGGCATCGAGTTCGCGCGCTAGCTCGGCGGCACGCTTCTCGATCATGGTATCCAACTCGGCATCTTCGACGTACGGCAGGGTGATATCGAGGACCTCGCGCGAGCGCGGCAACAGCGAGGGGAAGAAGCGATGGAAGAAGATGGTGTGTAAAATTCCTATGTTGGGAGGTTCTATGCATTAGCCTTTGCTTGGGTATGTAAACATATATTTATAGGTAGGCAGATCTGTGGGGAGACGCAGAGGTGGATGCGGGATATGGGGATTTGGCTTCGTGGACGACGGCGGATGGGCAGATGGGCAGATTGGCGGATAGACGGATGAAGGAGCGAGTGGTGATGATGATAGGTAGACGGCAACGATGATGACGGTCGCGGGGCATATGATTGGATGAATGGTTTTTAATACCTCTTACTACATCACGGACGGAAGCCGGATCGGCAAAAGCCTCGAGGATGAACTCTTGAGGTGTTTGTTGTTCCATAGTATACCTAGGAGGTAGTTTACCAAGTTGGGGATGGTTCTGGGTTGTTAGGAGGAAGTTTAGGGATTGTTGACCCTTCCCGAGGTCGTCTATCAGCAGACGCCGGCACGATGGATAGATGATCATCAGTCTGATGCGTCTGATGGGAGGATGGAGGATGGAGGGGTCCCGACAAAGGGGCTGAGCCGGAGGGGGAAAGACTTGGAACGTGGGGTGAATGGAATTGCACATGTACAACGAGTACATGTACTACATACCTAAGGTAACCACATGCGTCATATTAGCCACATCTATCCTGTGGCTTCTAAACCCCACACTGGAGGTACCTATGTATGGAACCTTACTATTATGTACCTACCTATGTACCTAGTAGTTAGCTGCAGGGGCTACGGACGATCAGGCGCTTATCTTATCAATTGCTAAGGTAAGTACGGAATAGACGACTCGCGCGCTTGGACCGAGGCACACGTCAGAACTCAGAACCTCCGAACTCCATTAAATGTAATTTCCAGGTGAAAGGACTCGCTGCAGGTTGGCTGCATACCTCAACTCACAAGCTCCCACCAGAGCCTTCCAATACAAGCCTTCAATACAAGCCTTCCAATGCCAAGTTCAATGCTAAGGTACCTGACCTAAAAAGTTACAACGGAATATTCACCTCAAAACACTTCCACTCCCCGAACCTTCTTCAGGGGCCCAGCATGATATCAGCTACACGGCGATGGCTCCGCCGTAATAGAACCCCAATAGCCATTGGTGTTGGTGTCATTGGCGCTGGCTACTTAGCCACTCAATATGTCTTGAACAAGATCAACGACGCGCGCGAGCGCATGAGTAGCGATCGTATCGCGAAGGAGAAGTAAGATCGCGTTTTCACAGCCTTCTTCGAGAACCCACGAATAGACCCTTCTAATAATTCCCTAGCCTTCGACGTCGGTTCGAGCAGAACCAGGAAGACTGCACATTTACAGTTCTGGCATTGCTGCCGACCGCGACTACGAATATACTCGAGACTATGAACACGGAAAAGATTACACTCGAGATTCAGCAGATGAAAGGCAGTAAGGCCCTGCGTAATGGTGGCGAATCGTCAGCTGCACCTCCTAGCATTGCTGATACTACTTTAACCGAAGAAGAGGGAAAGAGTATCGCGAGTTTACCGAGCGAGAGCGGCGCATTCGCTAGCCAGATGACAATATCGTCTGCGTCCAATGCCGGAGATGGCTCCCAAGATGGCGGTCAGCAGTCTGTGCAGAGATCAAGAAAAACGAAGAGACAGTTATGGGATGATTTAACGATAAGCTGTGAGCCTCCCTTTTCAACGTCGGATCTCTGTTTTTAGGCTGATTAGTGTTTCTCTAGCAATAACACGTGCTTTCACTCTCGTATACACGTTGGCCCTTCTTACCATGCTTACGCGGGTCCAACTCAATCTTTTAGGGCGACGTAGCTATTTATCAAGTGTGGTGTCTCTAGCAACAGGAACAGCACAGTCGACGATAAGCTTAGAAAATAACGATGATGACAACACGGAGCACGCATACGGTAGCGATTTTGAGACGAACCGGAAATACCTGACCTTTAGCTGGTGGCTGCTGCACCGCGGCTGGGTTGAGATCATGGAGAACGTCGAGGGCGCCGTTCGCGAGGTCTTCGGACACCTTAGTCCCCGTGACCTGCTGAGCTTCGATACCTTCTCACAGCTCACGCTCGAGGTTCGTAAGAAGATGGAGAGCAGGCCAGAAGAGACCAGCGAGTCGAGACCAGGTTCCAAGTGGCTGCCATTCCTACTGCCCCCTACTAAGATGGAAGACTTTGTCCTCCGGGAGTCGGGCGTTTTAGGTGACAACACGGCGGCATCTGCTCAACCGGATGGCTCATCAGCATCGTCGGATACGCCACTCCGTCGTCTCCTAGACGAGACCTCGGACCTCATCGAGTCTCCTCCTTTTACGCGCGTTCTGACGCTCCTCCTCGACGCTGGTTTCTCTACTCTTCTATATAAGAAAGTACTGCCGGGCGCCTTCCAAACGCCAGGAACACCCTTCACCGCCCCTCCCTCGTCTGACTTGGGAGCGCTAGTCGGTCAGCAGGCAGCCGTGAAGGCAGCCGGCTCAAAGGTTGTTCTATTGCCTAAGATCCTATCAGTACTTACGCGACAAGCCCATGCCATCGGCAATGGTATGCCCAACGAGTACCTGCAGGAGATGGAGCAGGTACGCGACCTAGAAGCCTTCGCAGCCGTTGTCTATTCGAGCAACTGGGAGAATGAGATCCAGGACTCGGAGAACCTAGCTGCGGCGCGGGCCGCTGACGAGACGACAAGCAATAGCAATAGCAATAGCAATAGCAATCTACATGTCCCAGAAGGCAGCAACGTGGGTCGGTTCTCGCAGGTTTCTACTCTGGGCGAGGAGAGCATGGTTATGGTCGACCCGTCGCAGACGCAGTCCTCATTCGAGACGGCATGGGATCGAGCAACGGATCGGTAGAAGTTAGAAGATGAGCGATAACTATGGCATGACAGAACATGATTACTATGTGTACTGTGGATACTGGTTCAACTAGGTATAACGAAATGAATTGGATATTGTTGGATCATGCGGGGAGGAACATAATGGGTTGGTCTTTTTTTTTTTTTTGCGAAGATACATTATAGCGTATGTATTACGACTGCTGGCTTTTCAAATAGCTTTACATAGAGGGCTACATACATGTATATACATGCACCAGTACTGCGGATATCGAAGCTTCAAGTAAGCCTCTCGGTTCCGGAGGGGATTTAATGATACCATCTCTAGCTCTTTAACTCCAATGCCTTGTTTTGCAGTTCATGCTGACTCCAAATACTTGGGCCGCGTGTACGCCGCGCCGGAAAAGTGATGCACCTCTACGGTAGCCCTCTACCCACCCATATATATCCTCTCTTCTGGGACACTTATCCCCAGCATTGATTAATTCTTCAGCGTCCAGGCTGACCGAAAATGGATTGCCTAAGGGCTAAGTTCACGTTCTCGGCTACCCAAGACCGGCATTATGCCATGCTTTTCTATCCTATATCGGAGCATGCCGTCACATCAGGCCTCTAACAAACTTATCTAGCCCCATCTCGAACATCTCGTTCCGCACGCCTTCGCCGCCTTTGTGCTCGACTGGCGAGAGGGGGTTCTTGACGACTGGGACGTAGCGATGTTAGCATTTTTTTTTTTCATTTTCCAGGGACACGGCGTTTTCCCTTATCCAGCAATCTTGTACAATCTCACGACTAGACTCACCGTACTCGACCCAGAGGTTAATGTAAATCTGGTGTAGAACGTTGCGCATGCTGAGGGCGCCGGGCTCGGTGAGCATGGCGAAGCGCAGGTTGGTCGGGGTCTCGTAGTAGTGCAGCTTGTAGTGGGCGGTGCGGAAGGCGATGAAGGCGTCGTCGTCGCCGCCGAGCTTGCGCACCATGTTCCGCAGGCTGAAGACGGTGCCGAAGATCAGCTTCGCGTCATTCTCGTTCTTCCTCCGGGTGATAGCTGCGGCGGCGGTGGCGGCGGCGGAGTTTGCGGGAGGGGTGGTTGTAGCTAGGGGTGCGGAGGATGGTGCTGCTGCTGTTGTCGTTGTCGTTGCTGCGGCGGTGGACGGGGGCTGTTGCGATTGCGGCCGCGACGGAGGCGGGCCGGCGATGCTGGATGATGGCCGGGGGACCCAGAGCTTTGAGTATACGCACTCGGCTGCGCGGTGTTGGGGGGTTAGTTAGGTATTTACATAATAGAGAAGAGAGCTACGTGTAGGTAGCATCCAATCCAGGACCGAGGTAGTTCTTACTATGGCGGTCGAAGATGTAAAACGAATAGACTTGTATAGGCATGGCTGCTAGTAGCTACTCCAGCGCGGGTCGCAAGCTGGGGAAATCACATGCCCGTGACGGACGGGACGAGAGTGGGATAAGGACTTGGGACTGGACTGGATCGGACTGGATTGGCTTTTGCTTGTCGCTGTTGCGGTTTGACGATGCAGGTGCTAAAAATAATAATGGGAACGGGGAACTGGGAATTGAAACGGCGGCCGGCAAGTCGGCACATGCTATACTATGTACCTAAACGTACTTGAACCAATATTTGCGGGCCGGTCCAGGGGGGAAGGGTCCAGCCTTCTAACCTTGAATCTTCAGAGCAAGACCAAACTTACAGTAGCGTCGCTACCTATCAACTGATGTACAATATTAGAGTAGATGTACCTAAGACATCTAAAAGTATACTTGACTTTTCATAGTTAACTAGTTAAAACATACCTAACCTTAAGTACACATCATCAACTACGTAGCAATCGAAAAAAAGGGTCACCGCCTACGTTCTGTTCTCAACAAGAGACCCTATTTCATTCAATTCAATTACCGACATCATACCATACCATATGTATAGGTAGGTTAGGTAGGTTAGGTATTCAGCTGTTCAAGGGTTAAGCATGCTCTTATCTTCCAGTTGTTAGATGTGATACTGCAGCAGCAACAGGGATCATGGGACTGCAGTTGGGGGCCATGATTTGCCCAATCGCCGAATTAGCTCTGCCTTTGGGCTGAACCTCTTATAAAATCCATTGTGCCGGGGCCCGGGGGAGTTGAGAAGAAGGAATGGTGCAGAAAGAGTTGAGAGTACTTCGTATCTATACCTCGTATCTATATTCCGTACCTTTCTACTACATATTTTATCCTACCTTTGGCCATTTTACTGCTCATGTTTCTCTCTCTTATTTATGTTCACTACATAGTAACAAATTAGAGAGTCATGCGCCAAGAACATAGTCGACTCTTCAACATCTGATGTTCGTCATTCCCTCCAACGGATAAAACGAAACCGCCCACGATGCAAACCTCATCTAACGCAGCCTCGGCCACCTCTACGCCAGCACCCAACGAGCTTATCGAATCAGGAGGATCCGAAGAGCGACTATTCGATAGTACGCATAGCTTGCCCCTGTCTCCGCATATTACGATCCAGCAAGATGCGGATGGGTTCAACCGACCGTCCTTTGCCCCTCACTTGTGAGTCTTGGAAGCATATTATACTATGTATAAAGTCGAGACTTCGCCGGGTTTGCCCCGCGATTTGTCTTGGCCGTCTAGGTAGTGGATTGTATGTGGATGTGTGGCTAAGACATCGAACACTTCTCCTAGATCTGCGCCCCCCGACGTACCTCATTTCCAAAGCCCCATGAGACATCATAGGAGGACGCCGTCTCAGCATCGTGAAGTGAAGGTCCGTAGAGAAAGGGATGATACATACTGCGCCGTCGTGAACTGAGATCCCGTCGCAGGAAACACTCAACGCCAAGACCGAGTATACCAACGATGAGACAGATGGCAGGTCGCAACAGACCATCAACCAATACACCATTCGAGAGGAGATTGGAAGAGGTTCCTACGGTGCCGTACATCTTGCTACCGATCAATTCGGAAACGAATATGTAAGCGCACGCGGCCGGCTTTGGGTTCATGAAGCCATCTAACCACTCCTCGTATAGGCTCTCAAGGAATTCTCAAAATTGCGCCTCCGAAAACGAGCCCAGTCGAATATCTTGAGAAGACCCGAAGGTGGGAGGCCGCGCTCACTTGGTCCGGGACAAGGTCTTCACAGCGCCCACAGAAAACAACTCAGCCGTCATGAAATTGCCGAAGCAAAGGACGCCCTCTTTTTAATACGAGAGGAGGTTGCTATCATGAAGAAACTTGACCATCCTAACTTGGTACAGTTATTCGAAGTATTGGACGACCCTGAAAACGATTCATTATACATGGTACTGGAAATGTGTAAGAAGGGTGTTGTTATGAAAGTCGGTTTGGACGAGCAAGCAACTCCCTACGACGATGAACAATGTCGTTTATGGTTTCGCGATCTCATCTTGGGCATAGAATACCGTAAGTTCATATTGAGGTACGGGTCCTGCTGAACGCCCACTAACCCCATATTATCCTAGTGCACGCTCAAGGTATTATACATCGTGATATCAAGCCCGACAACCTCCTACTAACAGAAGACGATGTACTCAAGATCGTCGACTTTGGAGTGTCCGAGATGTTCGAGAAACCGGATCACATGGTGACCAACAAATCTGCAGGCTCTCCTGCTTTCTTGCCGCCCGAGCTTTGCCAAGCCAGGCATGGTGATGTACCCGGCAGACCAGCTGATATATGGTCCATGGGGGTTACTTTGTACTGTCTCAAATATGGTGGACTGCCTTTTAAGCGGGACAATGTGCTAGACATGTACGATGCGATCCGTACCGAAGAAATTCGAATACCCTCCGAGAACGAAGATCCAAACTTCGTAGATCTCATCACCAGGATTCTGGATAAGAACAACGAGACAAGACTGACTTTACGAGAAATAAGAGTAAGTCTACCCCATCCCCAGTTAAACAACGAATACTAAATTAAGCAGAATCATCCTTGGGTCACAAAAGGAGGCACCGATCCCTTGCTCTCCGAGGAAGAAAACTGTTCAGATGTGGTAGAGCCACCGAACGCCCTAGAAGTCAACCATGCATTCACGCGAAAGATGGACCACCTTATGTGTGTGGTAAGAGCTATCTGCCCCTATAATACCCATTTTCAAAAACTTACCTGAGTTCGATCTTAGTTGAAAGCAATTCGTCGGTTTAAGAGTCTCATTTCTAAAAGTAGAGTTGCAACACCCGAGATTAAAGTACCTCAAATATCTCACGCGCCAGAAATCGTACAAGAGGCCATCCCGGAAGATACAGGAACAGCCGCACCCTCGATTTCAGAAACCTCGACCATCGCGCAGCCGACACGTCAAAGATCGATTGCGGAAGAGGCTGCGGAGCTTGTCAAGCAGCGTAGAGCTTTCCTTGAAGCTCAGAAGCACGCATCGACTCACCCACTGGCATCGCCCGGGGTGGAAGAGAAGGGCCAGGCCCACGACCCAACGGATAGGGCACCGCTTTTCTTAGGTATCGGTACGGGAGGACACGACGGATTCACTTCCTCTGAGGCTCCGGTTGATATTGTGTCTGACTCGCCTACCGGTATCGATTTTGATATCTATGACCGTGCTTTTGAGACGGAAATCAAACGTATCCGTTCCGATAAGAAGAAGGGTCGAGCCAGAACCTATCTCACGAAACTTGTAGGTCCTCAAGAGAGGGGCAAGTATGCCGGCGACGATTATATGGTATTGGAGGCTACGAAGTCACCAACCTCCAGTTCGCCAGGTTCAGGGGGAGGGTTGAATTTGGTAGAAAGAACGATGGAGCGTATGGACCGGGAGGGGCACGAAGCTCAGGATGGTGCCAGGAAGGCATTCGATGCCGCCAAAGAGACGGGACATAGGTTCGCGAACCTCGTCATGGCCGCGACCAAGGACCGAAAGGAGAAGAATACGAACTAGAAGTGAAGTGAAGTAAGGCTTAGTGAGCATTCCGAAGTCTCCGGGCGTGACGAGCAGCGTAAGGAGGAGGCGAAAAGGAGTATGATATATCGTATTCAAACCGTCACGATATGACGCATCACTCGCTCGCGAGTAGTTCCCTCCAGGTTGCTAGTATATCTATCCAGGTAATAAAAGAAGCAAAGGGCGATAGAAACGCCGTTGCGTATACGTACCTACCTAAATCAAGCAGAGCGGGCGTTTCGGTCTGGGTCGGAAAGACAGGAAAAGCGGATTTGTGGGACGGGCGGAAACGATTGTCGGTTCTCACCACACTCTCAAATAATAATTCTAGTGTTGCGCGGGTTCGCGGGATTACATGTGATAGGAGAAAAATAGGAGAAGCCGTCGATCAAGCTGGACTGGTTATTATGGTGTTGAGATATCTACATAGGTACCTAGGTACGTAATTCAAGCACTTGATAGGTTAGGAAGTAGCCAATAATCAAGCTCCAGCGTGGTAGTAGGTATCTTCGCTTCTCCCTCGGATGTAGCTACCGAAGGGAGTTTGAGAGCTGTTGACTTATTCGGGGCATAACTGTGTAAATCACATGTATAAGGTTCTATTTGTCCGCCGCGTCTGCTTACCTGCCTACCTAGCTATACATACCCTAGGTACTCTTCGCCTCTCTCTCTCTATGTGTGTGTGTGTATGTGTGTGTCTAGCCCCTGGACAAGCAGAGTGATGATATGTATGTACTGCGTAGCATATGCATTGCATACCTACCTAGGTACGCACCATCGCATTACTTGCAGAGAGTGCGGCGCAGATTTTCTCGTTGCCGATTTGAGGAATACTTGCTCAACGTACTTACATATGTAGTATGTAACTGGCCTCCCACATAGACATGTATACCTACCTAACTTACCAGGTACCTACCTACCTATATATGTTCCGCATAGGTTGGTATATAGGTTAGACACATATATCGACGGATAGATTGGTACCGAACGCAGGACAGACGGCATTCCTCACCGCGGGAATAAGCCAGCCCAGCTCACCGCACCTCGGTGCTTGTACATAGTATACGTGATATACGTAGTATTATTACCTTAGGAGAAGAGAAACACGGAAGGGAAAGGGGGGGAAGACAACTGGCCAGCCGGCGAGCAGGGAACGTAGGTACGTAGGCAAAGTCGAAGACAAGCCAAAGAAAACGCAACATTTCGAACACGTGTAGGTGTTGATGAATATAGTAGGCAGATGAAAAACAAAAGGGATGACATGATGTAGGCTACGTTGGCGAGGCTGACGGGCATGTCTTTAAAGCGGTCATACACCGCTAATCATCCGTTTACCTAGGTAGCTATCATCGCCGATATGTTTTATAATAGGTAATACAATAGGGGGAGACAAGGGGGCAAGGCTGTTTAAAATTTATATTCCTTCGGAAAGATAAAGAATGAGGGATATACCTGGCGTTTTATTAGTAGGCATTCCTTAGGGGAGGGATGATGAGCAAATACCTATATCAAACTTGCCTACGTAGACTTATTTGTTTTTGTGTGTGCTTGCTTGTCTTGTCTGTTAGAGGGAAGACTTACAGCCATGTAAGTCAGTCCTAGGGCTATCGTCCGCCTCGCGCTTTAGAGACTGGAGTCATCCCCTCCGTCC